GTCTGCGATACTGTGGTCACTTTCCATGTAGCATCAATTATGCTAACGCTAGCTACCTGTCACATTCTCTCGTCCTGGCCACACCTCCGCTCTCTAACCCCCCCTCCCTAACCTACTTTGATACATTTTTCAAATTTCGCCTTGGGGCGGAGTTATCTTTTCGTGGGGGGGGGGCTGTAGGATACACTTTAAGGTTGCTGCTGCTCCTGTATGCCACATGGACGCACATGCAAAGGCACCTGAAAGCTCAATGCAACTAAGATCAGAAAAGTGACATTTTGTGATACATACCAATTGTGATGGATCCGACCACAAAGCCCTGTGCAGCTACACGCATGCGGATCAAGTACACCGACATTTTTGTATCACCTCGAGTTTTCATTTTGTACAATTGGTGTGCAACAATTGCAGCGCATCCAGCAAATCCTAGAATGGAAAAATACATGAAATTAAWACATCAGCCAAGGGAAATGATTCAAATCAAAGTAAAATGTTACTAAAACAAAAAAAGTATGCAAAACGTATGGAAGTTATTACAAAAAAAACTAATAGGTCAGTTAAGTTACACTTTAAGTTTTTGATATACTCAATATAGCTTTGTTAGCAATAGATACACAATGTACTCACCGATAGGAACAGATGGATTCTGCTTTATCTTCCGCATCAATTTGGAGACATTATCGTCATCATATGAAGCCATGTTGACTAAAAAAATATATATAAAAAAATAAAAAATAACCAAGGTCAAAACAAGGACAGTTTTTAGGGTTTATTCTGGTTCTTTGCCAAATTTAATGCCACATCAGCTATTGCATACGGTTATAGCATTATCTTGTATATAAACTACGTTAGAAAATTTGTCATTAACTTGATTAAAAACTACTTTCAAAGTTGGACCCCAATCTAACATGTAACTCGTTTACTGGATCAGGACATGTACGAAGGTGACACTTGAGCAGAAGGCCTTCAAAAACTAACCACTACTTGCAATAAAACACGGCGTAAGTTTTAAAAACACTTTCTCTTGATTTTTAACTAGTTAGCGTCGAGGCCAAGCACAGCTCAGAATGAGTATGAAAAAGTTGAAATTATCGACGACATAATAATGACTTGCTTAGAGTTTTTGATCAGCTACTAAAATTCAATATCGCCATGTAGCGTTATCAATTTCTTACCCGTGTTGTTGTCTAAGGCCTTCGTAAAGAAATTGTCCGGTGAGTTTTGATGTGAGTTCTCTGAGCTAGCTTACACGCACTTAAAGGAAGTCATATACCGGCGTCGCGGTGATATAACTGTAGATTACGCAGGCCTGACGTCAGGCCCTGCATGTGTTGTGTTCAATGTTTGCAGGAAAAACAAAATTCAAATCTAACGATGCCAATTTTGTACATATGCCTTAACATTGCTCGCCTAAGGTACGCGCACTATTGTTAAACATATTAAAAATATGCTGTATATGTATATATATCGATATTTCATACTGTAACCATTCAATGTGTAGATTTATTTCTTAGAATTGTCCATAGAAATTCGATTTCTCGCCAAATAGAAAAAAATGAAAAAGGGAAATGATATATTAAGATAAAATAAGTCACTCAGATTTATCTACTAGTGCTCACACTGTTAAAAGAAGAACCTAAGTAGCTAAACTACGAGACATTTATTCTTAATACGATGCAAATATTTTGTGGTTGGTATAATTCTGAGGTACATTAAATGCAACACCCAGTTGCGTCACCCCGGATACTCCATGCGTTTCCGCTGCGCAGTACCGCCGACGAGCTTGTGCTTTAAAAAAATAATAATAATAAATAAATAAAGATGTAGTTTCTAACTCAGTTTGGATTTCCCAGCCTGTCTGGTTGGTCTCTGATAAAAACTGGTACTTTGACTTCCTGTTGCAAAACCAATGGATATTTCATCAATTGTATTTATTTGTCGGCGTCCTGCAATAACCTGGACCTAACGTCAYCTCAAAAGACACCTGATCAAAAACATAAAACCATAAAAACTCAGTAATCTACAATAATAAAAGTAGGGACAACCTCACTCACAATAGTTTCTTATTTTTTTGTCTCCGCCCTGTGACAGCAACCTGCAGAGTTGTGTTGGCAGGCCGTTGTATCATATAATAACTTACGCATTTCAACTTTCGTCTTGTTTGAACATATTAAAGCTAGATTTGATATGTAGACCATTTCTTGTTTCAACTCTTGTTAGTCAAAACAAGATRTTCAGAAGATGTGTCTATTGTCCTTTAGAACAACATGAAATCAGTTCATTCAGCCTTGACTTCATTCATAAATTTCCAACATTGTTTTGCACAGTGTGAAAAAGCACATCCATAACAAATTTAATCATTTTTCTTCTTAAAGCAGTTTTTATTGTTTAAAAGCTTCTTCGCTGTCCACTTTTCTTGAAAACAGACATGCAAAAAAACTGCTTTGAAGCCTTAATGTGGCATTTCCTTTATGCAATTATAGCCTCAACTCCCCCTGGACATACACCAGACCCAGAGGGACACTGCAGATTAAACCAGATATGTAAAGGTTGAAGAGAAAAAAGACAAACTAAACCCAAATGATTTATTTTAAAGTGGCCTTTCTGTAGTAACATTTAATGACTTATTTTGAAGCAGCTCAGTCTCAAGCATTAGTTTGTTTCCAATTATATTTGAACACTAGAGGTTTATTTCAATGTATTAACTAAAAATATATGTTTTGTTTTACGACTATATTTGTAAGATTTTGATTATTTAGTTCATATAGACATTATTTGGTAAATTACATGGAGTAACCCTGTAACCTGTCCACTAAAACAGTATTTTAATTTGGGAAATGAGAGCTGCATTGATGCATAGAATATTAAAAAAACAAAAAAAATGTTCCTGCAGCATGTAAAGGTGTAAAAATAAGCTTATTCTATGTTGGGTCTCAAAGGAGTAAACCACATGTGTCAAACTCAAGGTCTGCATTTTTAGTCCCTCTAAAGAAATACTTTAAATTTGATATTTTTACATTGAGCTCATTCCTCTCATGACAATTAGCCAACTTTTAAGTCAAGAAAATGAAGTTTGATAWATGCATATTTCATCCTGTGTAAGAAAAATGAAAAAAAAAAAAGTATTTGATAGAGAGTAAATGGTATGGTGAATGGTAAATGGTAAATGGTACTGAACTTATAGAGCGCTTTTCAAGTCCCTCCGGACCCCAAAGCGCTTTACACTAACAGACATTCACCCATTCACACTCACATTCACACACTGATGATAAACTACGCTGTAGCCACAGCTGCCCTGGGGCACACTGACAGAGGCGAGGCTGCCATACACCGGCACCACCGGACCCTCTGACCACCATCAGTAGGCAAGGTGGGTGAAGTGTCTTGCCCAAGGACACAACGACTGAGACATAAGTAAGACATAAGAATGATTATTTTTTTATTTACATTTTTCTTTATCTGTTAGGTTATATATGATGTAAATGCAACATAATTTGAAAAGATAATTTATATTAGAATTATTTCTTATGTTACTTTTTTAATACAAATAGACAGAATGTGGCTGTTGGCCTGGACCAAGTTTTGAATGTTGGCCCTCTTGTTTTACTGAGTTAGATTCTGGACTAAAAAAATGTATAAATGAGAAGAACATAGGTTTGACCTCCGTGGAGAAGAACGAGCACACTGCCATCAGTTATGGATCAGCAGAAGAGTTTTTAAAAACATTTTAAACTTGTTTTCAACAACTTTTTTATTTATTTCATACTCCCGATGTCGGACTTGTGACCTGTCCAGGGTACCMCCGCTGTGACTGCTGTGACCAGTAAACCTCCAGACGCACGCACGCACACACGCACGCACGCACGCACACACACACACATGCACACACACACACACACACGCACACACACACACAAAAGTGATGGATGTCCAGGAAAACAATGAGGAGGTGAAGAAAAGAGTCCAGTTAGACCCGTTGTGTTGATTTGGAGATATAATGACAAAAAGACAGGAGACAGAGCTGGAAGTTGATGAAAATGTTAAGGTTCTCCTTGGCATTAGCAAGGATAAAACCAAGTCATAAACTCCAGCTCAGGACACTGTACAAAACAATAATAATATTAATAATGTATCTAGCCAGCAGATTGTGTTGAATCTTCAATTTTATTACGCTCTCCTATCCTGAGCACATAGCAGTGGAAATGAAATATATAATGTTACCTGTAAAGCCTCAGACTGAAGTCTCTTTGTGAAGAGACAATTTTTTTTCAGCAAAAAACCTGCCCAGAGGACCTATTTAGAAGGATGAATATCAGATTAGAAGAATTAGAATTCCTTCATTGTCTTTGTACAAGAAGCACAACACCATTTAATTATAATTCTAATATGATTAGGAAGGAGATTATCTGAGGTACATCACAGAATGATTGACTGGGAGACAAAGTTACAGAGAAAAGACTGAGATGGACTGGATATGTCAAAAGAAGGAACAGTGTGTTGGCAGAAAGATGAGGTAAAATGAGGACAGAAGTAAAAAGATTAAAGAACACATCTCATGATTTTAAATCATTCTTTTTCACATTTAAATAATTCAACTGGCGTCTAAAGTGAAACTGAATTAATCCATATTTAATACAATTAACTCTGTCTTAAACCCACCCACCCTGGTTTTACCYGATGCCTCAGTTTCCATCTGTGAGAAATTTCTCTCCTTTTTATTGATAAAGTTGCATCTGGTAGACAAGCCACAGGTACACCTGCTCATTCGGATTTAGGATTTTCTATCATTTCTGCTGGTTCTACTTTCTTCGAGCAGTTTGAACCAATGTCTTACTCCATTTTGGACAAAAAAAAGTTAAATCCATTAAAACCACAAACTGCCCCTCTGATGTTCTCCCTACTAAATTATYGAAAGGAGTTTTTAATATTGTTAGTCCTCACCTTCTTTCTTTTTTAATTCATGTCTGATCCTTGGAATTATGCCTTCTGCTTTTAAACATATGTGTGTCCTCTTCTGAAAAAAACAAATCTTGATCCCTTGGTTTTATCAAATTTTAGACCTTTTTCTCATTTACAATTTCTTTCCAAAGTGTTAGAAAAAAATTGTGCTTATGCAAGTCCAGCCTTTTTTGGAAGAAAACACAATTTTGTATAAATTTCAGTCTGGTTTTAGATCTCGGCATAGCACTGAATCTGCGTTACTGAGAGTTCCACAGTCTGAAGAGTCAGAGGAGAATAAAAACAACAAAATTGTAGTTGGTAAGTCCCTAATTCATTGGCAGTTCTATCACAGTTTCAGTGATAATAGCCATAAAAAAATCACACAACAGTCTGTCACAGTAAAAACAAAAACAATAAAAAACAGAAAATAAACCTGAATGGGTTAACCCAAACAGAAAATAAAGATATCTACGCAGCATGTTGTTGAGACTCCAAGTACACAACAAAATGTATTTAACGGCTAAATGAGTTTTTGCATATGTCCCCTTGTTCCCAAATTTGTATTTTAGTAAATCAAAAGACAAGATCCAAGTCGAAAATATATGAAAGCACTGATGAGACATTAYTATTTCACAAAAGAGCACTGACTACATCTGATCCAGTAGATGGCACCACACTGCTGAGAGTGTGACACCAGGCCAATCGTATTCTTTTATTCTTGATCAGACTTTGTAAATGAAATAATAAAAAGGTGGATCCTATTGTAYTCTACCTAAACCAGGTTATATCCACCATTATTTAAAGACAAAAAAAAACTAAAAAATGTTTTTGGTTAAAAATATTCCTCCCTCACTTCACCACTCCAAAGTCTTTCTAAAAAATAAACAGGACATCTGCCTTCACCTCCATTTTTGTAAATCATTGTTAAAATGTCTACAGTAGCTAATAAAAACAGCAGTAAAAAAATAAACAGGCTCACTTTATTGATTTTAATAAGTTCATGGACATTCTGATGGCATATCTTTCTCTTTGTTAAACTTTTAACAGCGGAGGTCAACGTTACTTAGCAGTAATCTGAAGTTTCGCAACACAGTATTTAAACTTTAAAAAATGATTGTAACAGTTTTAAGTCATGAACAAAATGAACGTCATCAGGCTGGTTTGATATGGGGGTGAAGGTCAAGTTATTTTTTCACTTGTCCTTGTAACACGTGTGTTGCTTGCCCATTTCTATTGTCTCTTTAGATAATTCAAGGGAAGGTCAATTGTCTCTATATCAATAAAAGTGAGATAAAAGCAATTTGTTTTAGGAAAACGAAACCTTGCTGATGAATCAACACCTTTTGGCCCC